AGACATCTAGGACCTGTTTTTTTGAGTCCTTAGCATTCTGCAGCACGTTCTAGGTTCAAAACCCAGCTCCCAGTGCTCAGCATTTCTGCAATAAGACCCCGGGGTTCTCACGCTGGGTCACAAGGTGACCACCTATGACCAATTTGGTTTAAGAGACTTGCCCAACATCACACAGGAATTCTGAGGTAGAGATAGACCCAAATTCTCCAGAGTGGCTATTAACTGCCTGAACCATGGATCCATCCTCTCTCTCCCCACAGCCCCTGCTTCGTTCATGACACCCTTTCTAACTTCTGCACTGCAGCAAACGAAGCACAGAGATCCTGCCTCCGACAGCCTCCCTCAGTACTCGGCCCTGTGCCACCACACAGCCAGTGGGAAAACCAGCCTGGGACGGTATGAGGCAAGGCTGTACCCTAAGGCACACGAAAGGGGCCGTGCTTGGGAGGCGGAGCGGAGGGGATGGACATGGGAGGGAGGGTGGGGAGGAGCAGGGAGGGAGAGGCTGCACTCATGAGGCAGGGCATGGGCAGGGGTGGGAGAAGCTGTGTTTGGGAAGGCGGGAGGAGACAGGAGTGGGAAAGGCTAAATCATAGGCCATATGAAATCAGTGATGGCCAGTAAAACTCAGGGTACGGAACAGCTTGGAGAGGTGTCGTCTGTGTCTCAGTTGATGCAGAATGGCCCTGGAAACCAATTTCTTGGATTGCACCCAACCGACAGCTATCTTCCCACACCATGGAACTCCTTCGCTGAGTGCAGGCCATATCATGGGCTGAGTAGTCCTCTGGCACGAAAAGGGCTTTCCTTCCTAGTGGAAATCCAACTCACGGGATCTGGAGCACAGAGAACCATACTGCAAATGTGCCCACTCTGGGTAGTTGGGTCACAGAAAGTTAACTCCAACTGAGTCCACCGTGTGAAGAGCGCACTCCGGGTGGCTTGGGGGAAGGGAAAGGCAGTTCGACGTGTGTTGTTGTCTTCGGAGTGGTGATATAGTAGCTCCAAGCATCAGTCTGCTGTTTAGGTCCCAGTATATTTAGTTCAGGAGATTTCATTTGGGGTTTGACTTGGTTTTTACTGTACCTCTCCTAATCACAGAATCCCAGCCCAGCAATGCCAGGCAGGAAAAATATTCTCTGAAAGCAACCTGTAGGCAGCTCGGCTATTCTCACTGCCGTTAGCATGAGCAGTGCTGTCTCCGTGGTGATGCCAGAATAGAGGAGTTTAGCGCTATGCTGATACTAAGCTGTCTTTACCAGTAAGATTTTATCATGTGATCCTTTATTTGGATGGATGTATTTTTATGCTGCCTGTTTCAGTGGACATAATTGCCATGAAAATGTCACACCCAACTTTTCTAATGAGGTGGCCAGCTTTACATTTCCCACCCAGGTTTCACCATTTGCTCTAGAGCTGGGCCAAATGGAAGACATTACACTGCCAGATCCACCACCAAGACTGGCTTTCCCAGTGGCCATATGGAGAGACACAAGGTGGTGTCAGAGGTGAATGATGCTGGGAATTAGAGGAGTTTGGGATCATTTGTTTTGGGAATGAGCTGGTAAGAATAGGGATAGCCTTTGTAAATCAGAGATAAAGCCCTAGAATGAAATGCCAAAACACCCGTTATTCAAACATAGTTTTGTTACCCAATATGGTGTAATATTTTGGTACATTTTCCCCAGGCTTTCCATCCACATTCAGTTTCCATTCTTGCATGTTGTTCCCAGAAACATTTATAGTCAGCAATTCCTGCACTTTTGTCTTCAGCAATTCAGTCATTTGCTTTGAAAGAGATTTGATCCTAGATAAAGCACATTGTGTCTGAATTGTATTGAGTGAGGCCCTTCTGGGCAGGATGGTGGTCTGGGTCAGCCACCATGTTCACTGAGGAAGACAAGCAGCCTCTAAAGTGAGTTTAGACCATCTCTACACAATATAAATCACACTCACAGCTTTCAGATGGGCACAGAACACTTTGGTACATGAACAGTTAAACAGCAATTAACATTCCTGAAGGGTAGGCAAGATTCCACTGGGCTCAAGTACCCTAGGTTTCTGATCATGCTGTTTGCCTGTAAAACTTTATAATTTGTTCAAAGCAGTGGGCACAGTAATCCAAAGCACCCAGTTATGTAGTCTTGTTGTCCCTGGAGCCCAAGCAGAGGGCACATATACAATAAAGGACATCATTCACCCAGAAATATTCCACAGTTCATACAGGTTTCTCTCTTGAGTAATGATCATTCATCTGTGCAGCCAGGAAATGGTCCCTAGTTCACCAGGCGCTGTAAGTAAAAGGCTGTGTCTGCCCCCAAGCATTGTTCCTAGAACCTACCACCATGGCACTGCCATTAATGGTAAGAGCTCTGGAATAGACCATGCACATGTGTCTAGCCATGTTCATGGCAAATTAAATCAACACTGTGGTGAAAAAATATCTTGTTCTTTACGCTAACCAGCTCCCCAACCATTGCTACCAACCAAAGAGCTGGTCTGGGGGCAGCAAAAAGCTCAGTGTAGACAAGTACACCTAAGTCCTAAGCACACCCCAGTTTTCCAGGTTCCTGCCCACGTGGAAGCACTTCCCTCTCCACTATATGCTCTCACAGGACTAGAATCTGCCTCCTGTCAGCCCTAATGAGCCAGAAAGTCAGCAACCATTGTACCATGTACTATGTTCCCTTGCAAGCACAGACAGATTCAAGGTCCACTACCCTCCCCAGGGGCCCTTTACAGTTAGAGATCTAGACGGAGCTGCCAAGGAACTCAGGGACAGGGAAATATGAGTTTATATGTGTTATGTTCATTGCACACACATGGAAAAAGTAGATGAAAACATAAAATACTCTTTCTGGAAGTTACAACATAACACGACTTTATTTCTTAGAATCCAGAATTCTAACACACAAGAAACAAAAACAGAGAGAAAAAAAGCAGGTTGCACCCCAAAGCAGAGAAACACAACTCACTCCACTCTAGAGGCCAACTCTTTGCAGCTGTAATCACTTGCTTCTTCCCTGCAGACTCCCCTAGCCTACCAGCAGAACCAGGAAACCCTTATAACTTAAAGTGATAGCTTGTAATTTTAACACAGCTTTCAGTGCACCAAAATACACATTATCAAAGTTGGATCCCAAGTTATTTAGTCACTTGTCAATTATTTCAGGTACATTCAGGGACAACTCAGCTGCTGTTCTGCAAAACATTCTGGGTATGTCAAGGCACCTATCTATTTGTATTTATTTAAATATATTACCTGTTCTTTTCTTCCCGTGTGGGCATGAGCCTAGAATAAACCAAGCTCTGTGGCATCATCTACCTGTAAACCCAAGGGGGTTTCCACAGACTCTCGCTCCCATTCTGTGATGTGCCAGCCTTACTGAAGGGGATGGTTTGCCCAAGCACAACTGGGATACTGGCGGGGGCTAGGCTGGGCTGCCACATGAAGGCACTAGACCTCTAGATGCCCTGGGACCACGGGATTTCCCCATGGATCTTTTGCATATCGACAACCACTGCCTGCTCCATGGGGGCAGCTCCCCCTTCCCCCATGGGATGATTCCAAAGAAACTTGGCAAGGTGAAGCTCCCAGAGTTCCCTGGCTCCCCTGACAGATATTTTCATGGAAAGCTCTCATTGGCCTTAAGTGCATTATACTCATAACCACAGGGATGCAGAGGTAGTAGGAGCCTCTAGATTGTCGGCCAATAACATTAGGAAGGGCCAGGCCCACAAAGGCAACAAGGAGAAAACATGCCTTTGTTGGAACCTTCAGGACATACAAGTGGACAGACTGGGTCAGATCAAAGGTCCATCTAGCCCAGTATCCTGTCTTCCAACAGTGGCCAATGCCAGATGCTTCAGAGGGAGTGACGAGAACAGGCAATCATTGAGTGATTCATCCCCACTCGTCCAGTCCAAGCTTCTGGCAGTCAGAGGCTAGGGAAACCCAGAGCATGGGGTTGGGTCTTTAACCATCTTGGCTAATAGCCATTGCTGGACCTATCCTCCATTAACTTATTTAATTCTTTTTTGAACCCTATTATATTTTGGCCTTCACAACATCCCCTGACAAGTTCCACAGGTTGACTGTGGATTGTGTGAAGATATACTTCCTTTGGTTTGTTTTAAACCTGCTGCCTGTTAATTTCATTAGCTGACCCCTGGTTCGAGTGTTATGAGAAGGGGTAAATAACTTCTTCTTTGAGTAGTATCCCTATGGGTGCTCCATTGTAGGTACGTCTGTGTCCCTGCTCTGCTGAGCGGAGAACTTCCATAACGGTGTCAGTTCGCTGTCTCTCTTCCTGCTACACTATCATCAGCGGCTTCTCAACTGCCCTGACTAGAAATGGAGCCTTTAGCTGTCTGTTGGCAGATCATTAACTCTCCTTTTCAGTTGTTAATCTTTAGCTTTTAGAAACCTTTAGCTTTCTTTTGGCTTTTATATGGCTGTGCCTAAAAAAAATGGAAAAAAACCCCAAAACTAACAAAAAGAAGAAAGAAAAGACTTTGTTCTTGTGTTGACACCGGAGGGGGGACAAAGCAAGTGGACAAAAAATATTACGTCCTCACAAAGGAATCAGAATTCCCATTCACCCACCCACCACTCAATTCCATTGTGGTAGATGTTGGGAACTTCATGGCCGACAGCACCATTCTACGACAACACCCTATGACAGAGATTGGAAACACCTTGCTCTCTTTGGTAGGAAGGCGTACTCCTTGGCCACCTTGCAATTTCACAATGCCAACTACCAGGCACTCATGACAAAGTATGACACAAATTACAATAAATTACACAACTTTATTGATAAGCTGCCGGGGAGCTCCCGGTATTCCTTCAAGGCCATCATCCAGGAGGGGCAACCTATTGCAAACACATCGTTGCAATCGGCCCTCGACACTCCATGGCAGTGGTGATGAGACGGGCATCGTGGCTCCACCTCTTGGGATTCCCAAAGGAGGTGCAGACCACGGTGGGGGATCCCCCCCTTTGGAGGGGTAAAGCTCTTTGCTGAGAAGACCGATGCCTCTTTCCACTCCTTGAAGGATCCCAGGGCCACTCTGGGGTCACTGGGAATCTACACACCAGGACAAAAGAGATGTTTTAGCCCCCAATACCAACAGAGGCCTTATTCATCCTAATTCCTGTCACAATGGAACCATGAGCCCCAGGGAAAAAGGGAAAGCTCTCAAAGCGAATGTCTTTGGGCTCCCAGACCTCAACCCAACCACCTGCCCCTAAACACCACTTTTGACAGGCAGGTCGAGGCACCGCGAAACCACTCCCCACTACTATCTATGACCATGCACCCATTTAGCCACCATTTGGCAGTGTTCTGCAGTGCCTGGGAGTGCCTAACCTTGGACAGATGGGTCCTAGACATCATCAGATCAGGATATTCTATCCACTTCACCTTCCTACCCCTCCACAACACCCTTCCCCGTCCCTCTTCAGGGACCCTTCTCACAACAGTCTACTATGCAGGAGGCAGATCGCCCCCTGCAGTTAGGAGCCATGGAACCAATACCTCAACAGCTACAAGGCAAAGGGTTCTACTCTCGCTATTTCCTAACACACAAAAAGAAGGGATGTTAGAGACCCATCCTGGACCTCAGAGTTCTCAACAAGTTCATCAAAGCTCAGAAGTTCACGATGGTCAGATTATTGACAATCATTCTGTCACTGGAACAGGGAGACGGGTTTTCGGCCCTTGACCCACAAGACACCTACTTTCATATTTCAATACTACTGGCTCACAGATGTTTCCTCAGGTTCACTCTGGGAAACGACCATTCCCAATACAGGGTCCTCCCCTTCGGACTTTCATCATCCCTGAAAGTATTTTCCAAAGTTCTCTCAGTGGTAGTCACCCATCTAAAATCCCATGGGATAATGATCTACCCTTACCTGGACGATTATCTCTTCAGAGCCCAGTCACTTCTGGAGGCTTGTCGAGCCACTGAGGACATGATACGCTTGTTCACAGAGCTGGGCTTACAGACCAATTCCCAGAAGTCAATCCTCACACCAGTGCAACACCTGGAATTCATAGGGGCTGACCTAAGACGCACGACAGGCCAAAGCCTTCCTAACTCAGGACAGGTTTCTATCCCTGGTATCACTTATAGAAATGGCTCAATGCAGCCCTTGAGTGCCAGCTACAATCTGCCTCTAGCTCCTGGGGCATACGGCAACCGGCACGGCGGTGATTTCATACGCCAGACTTTACATACAATGCCTACAGCTGTGGTTCAGCTTCGTTCACAGACTGAACAGGGACAGTCTGGCCAAACCCCTGTCACTGCCCACCCGGATCAGGAACTCCTTGGACTGGTGGAAGAACACAGCCAATGTAGGCAAAGGGATCTCCTTTTTTCAGGCACCACCCTTGTTGCTCCTTACCACCAATGCATCCCTCCTAGGACGGGGCACGCATTTGAATGCCTCCCAGCGCAAGGCAAATGGAGATATCTCTGTATATCAATCGCCTCGCGTTGAGAGCAGGCAGGAACACCTGTGCCCATTTTCTTCCACTGATAACAGGGTCGCAAATAAAGATCCTAACTGACAACATAGCCTGCATATACTATTTCAATCACCACGGAGGAGCCAGATTGCCCTCTTTTTGCATGGAGGCAATGAAACTGTGGAACTGTGCATCTCTCACAACGTCTCCTTGTACATGGCTTACCTCCTGGGCATGCACAACAAGATAGTGAACAAACTTGGTCAGACATTCCTGCATGACCACCAGTGGGAGATGCACTCGTCAGTACTTCACAACTTATTCACATGGTGGGGAACACCATCCACAAACCTGTTCACCACTTACCAGAACAAGAAGTGTCTATGATACTGTTCCAAGGTGGGGAGTGGACAGCACTCTCTGGGACAAGGACTGTCTTTATGCCTTCTGTCAGTTTCCTCTTCTGCTGAAGGTCCTGCTGAAGATAAAGAGGGACGGAGCTCACATAATTCTGATTGCTCCTATGTGTCCGAGACAGACCTGGCACCCTTGCCAGATGCAGCTTGTGATGTGCCCACTGATCTCCCTTCTGGCCACTCTGCACCTTCTCTCTCAGGACAAAGGGCGCACCATACATCCCAGCATGGGGCTCCTTCGCCTCAAGGCATGGCTGCTATGTGGTTCCAGCATCTAGACAGCTCATGCTCAGAGGAAGTGCAAGAGGTTCTACTGCACAGCAGAAAGTCTGCCATACAGCACACTTACCTGCAGAAATGGTCCAGGTTCTAGATTTGGTGCATGTCCCAACAGATCTTGCTGGCGTCAGCAACTCTTCCACATATTCTGGAATATGTTCTGACCCTTAGAAAATTGGGGTTATTCCTGTGCTCGCTCAGGGTCCACCTAGCAGCTATGACAGCATTTCACCAAACCTTAGAAGGGTACTCAGCAATGTTCCCTCTAAGATTTTACATCCATGTGCAGAATGAATTTTGTTATATGCACCAATATGGAGGTGATGTGTGGTGGGGGTGGGGGCCGAGGGATTCAGAGTGTGGAAGGGGGTTCAGGGCTGGGGCAGATGACTGGGGTGCAGGGGTGAGGACTCTAGCTGGGCATGAGGACTCTGAGGTGGGGCCAGGGATAAGGAGTCTGGGGTGAAGGCTGCCCCGGGGCTGGGGCCAGACGACTCCCCTGAGCCCTCTCCCCAGTGTCAGGAGCTCTGGGGCCGGGGGAGAGGCCCATGGCAGCCCTGCATGCCCCAGCTTGCTCCCCTCTCCAGTCCCTGCCCACCCCTACCTCTCCAGGCCCCTGTGACTGCATGACTCCGTGGCCCTTTATAGCCTGCTGTGCAACCATGCAGCTTAGAGGGAACTTAGGTGCTCGGCAGTATCACACCCAACCACTACGAGGGAATATCACACCTCTTCCCTCAACCTTGACTTCCTTCCCCCTCGTGGGACCTAATCGTAGTGTTGAAAGGGCTGACTAGGCCCCCCTTCGAACCAATGGCCACCTCTTTGCTAGCACACCTATTGATGAAAACGGTCTTTCTGTTTGCAATTACCGCGGCGAGAAGAATAGGGGAAATAGCAACTCTGATGGCGCATCCCCCATATACAGTATTCTTCCTGGACAGGGTTACACTTAGGCTGCATCACAGGTTCACCCCTAAAGTGATCTCCTTGTTTCACATCAATCTATTTATCTTCTTGCCTTCTACCCCACGCCTCACACCTAGAACACATGAGTTATGAGGAGAGGCTGAGGGAACTGGGGATGTTTAGTCCACGGAAGAGAAGAATGAGGGGGGATTTGATAGCTGCTTTCAACTACCTGAAAGGGGGTTCCAAAGAGGATGGCTCTAGACTGTTCTCAGTGGTAGCAGATGACAGAACAAGGAGTAATGGTCTCAAGTTGCAGTGGGGGAGATTTGGGTTGGATATTAGGAAAAACTTTTTCACTAGGAGGGTGGTGAAACACTGGAATGCATTACCTAGAGAGGTGGTAGAATCTCCTTCCTTAGAAGTTTTTAAGGTCAGGCTTGACAAAGCCCTGGGTGGGATGATTTAATTGGGGATCGGTCCTGCTTTGAGCAGGGGGCTGGACTAGATGACCTCCTGAGGTCCCTTCCAACCCTGATATTCTATGATTCTATGATTCTCACCGAGACAATAGGGAGGCCATACTACACACCTTACATGTTAGGAGAGCCCTTGTATTCTACCTCCATAGGACAAGGGCCTTCAGGAAGTCCCGTAGACTATTTCTCTCTATGGTGGAAAGATCTAAGGGCTCAGCAATATCAGCTCAAAGACTCTCCAAGTGGGTCTTGAATTGCATCAGGCAGCTACCAAATTCATAATGTGATGCTTCTGGGGTCACTGACCACGAGGTCGATCTCCTCATCTGTCACCTTCCTCAAGGACGTCCCCATCTCAGAGATCTGCAGAGTGGCGAGGTGGGCGTCAGCCCACACCTCTGCAGAACATTATGTGATTGCTGGGGACTCTGCCTCCGATACCATCTTTGGCTCCACAGTACTGTCATCTGTGACTGACCCGACTCTGAAGTCCCAGCCTTCCAAGGGGGACACTGCTCTGGAGTCACCTACAGTGGACTCCCATAGGGACAGTACTCAAAGAAGAGGAAGTTACTCACCTTGTGCAGTAACGATGGTTCTTCAAGATATGTGTCCCTGACCATGTGGGTGCTCCATGACCTGCCCTCCTTTCCTCTACTTCAGAGTTCTCACTATGACTCTGGGTAGAGAAGGACCCGAGGATGGTTAGCGCCCACATGCTTGCTAACCTCATGGCACAGCATGAGGAGAGATGGCGCATTTGTGGGCCAAATGGACACTGCTACCAAAGTTGTCAAATCGGCAGTGCAAGGACACAGACACACCTACACTACAGCACCAACAGGACACAAATCTCGAAGAACCATCGTTACTGCACAAGGTGAGTAACTTCCTATTCCTTATTCACTTTCTCCACATTAGTCATGTTTTACAGACCTCTCTCATATCCCGTTAGTCATTTCTTAGATGAACACTCCCAGTCTTTTTAATCTCTCCTTGTACAGAAGTTGTTCTGTATCCCTCATAATTTTTGTTGCCCTTCTCTGTACTTTTCCCCAATTCTAAAATATGTTTTTGGGATGGGGTGACTGGAACTGCACACAGTTGTGGGTGCCATGGATTTTTAGAGTGGCATTATGATATTTTCTGTCTTATTATTAAGGTTAAGATTTTGTCATGGGTATTTTTAGTACATAAGAAGCACATAAGAACAGCCCTACTGGGTCAGACTAAAGATCCAGCTAACCCAGTATCCTGTCTTCTGACAGTGGCCAATGCCAGATGCCTCAGAGGGAATGAACAGAACAGGTAATCACCAAATGATCCATCCCCTGTTGCCCATTCCCAGCTTCTGGCAAACAGAGGCTAGGGACACCATTCCTGCCCATCCTGGCTAATAGCCATTGATGGACCTATCCTCCATGAACTCACCTAGTTCTTTTTTGAACTGTTATAGAAATGTAGAATTATGTACAAAAAACTGCATTCAAAAATAAAACAATGTAAAATTTTAGCGCCTACAAGTCCACTCAGTCCTACTTCTTGTTCAGCCAATTGCTCAGACAAACAAGTTAGTTTACATTTGCAGGAGATAATGCTGCCCACTTCTTGTTCACAATGGCACCTGAAAGTGAGAACAAGTGTTCTCATGGCACTATTGTAGCCGGCGTCGCAAGATATTTACATGCCAGATGCGCTAAAGATTCATATGTGCCTTCATGCGTCAACCACCATTCCAGGGGACATGCGTCCTTGCTAATGACTGGTTCTGCTCGATAACAATCCAGAGCGGTGCGGACTGACGCATGTTCATTTTCATTATCTGAGTCAGATGCCACCAGCAGACATTGATTTTCTTTTTTGGTGATTCAGGTTCTGTAGTTTCCGCATCGGAGTCTTGCTCTTTTAAGACTTCTGAAAGCATGCTCCACACACCTCGTCCCTCTCAGATTTTGGAGGGCACTTCAGATTCTTAAACCTTGGGTCGAGTGCTGTAGCTATCTTTACAAATCTCACATTGGGTATCTTCTTTGTGTTTTGTCAAATCTGCAGTGAAAGTGTTCTTAAAATGAACAACATGGACTGGGTCATCATCCAAGACTGCTATAACATGAAATATATGGCAGAATGAGAGTAAAACAGAGCAGGGGACATGAAATTCTCCTCCAAGGAGTTCAGTCACTAATGTAATTAACTCATTGTCACACATTTAATTAACGCATTATTTTTTTAATGAGCGTCATCAGCAGGGAAGCCTGTCCTCTGGAATGGCGGCCGAAGCATGAAGGGACACACGCATGTCTAGCATCTCTCATAGGCGCCAACTTTTCCCAGCACTGGTGGGTGCTCAACCCCCCCGGCCCCGCCCCCACCCCTGCCCCGCCCCCATTCCAACCCTTTCCCCAAAGTCCCCACCCCAACTCCGCCCCCTCCCTTCACCTATTGGACCCCCTTCCCCAAATCCCCGCCCCGGCCCCCCCCTCTTCCCCGAGCGCTGGGAGCTAGGGGGAGAAGTGGAGCCGCAGCGCGCTCAGGGGAGGAGGCGGAGCAGAGGTGGAGGTGAGCTGGGGTGGGGGTGCAGGGCGGGGAGCTGCTGGTGGGTGCAGAGCACCCACCAATTTGTCCCCGTGGGTGCTCCAGCCCCGGAGGACCCATGGAGTCAGCGCCTATGGCGTATCTGGCATGCAAATACCTTGCAATGCTGGCTACAGAAGTGCCATGCAAATGCCCATTCTTACTTTCTGGTGACACTGGAAATAAGAAGAGGGCAGCATTATCTCCTGTAAACGTAAACAAACGTGTTAGTCTTAGTGATTGGTTGAACAAGAAGTAGGACTGAGTGGACGAGGCTTTCTTCCAGCAACTAACGGAAGTTACTAGATCGCAAGCCCTGGTTCTCATGGGAGACTTCAATCACCCTGATATCTGCTGGGAGAGCAATACAGCGGTGCACAGACAATCCAGGAAGTTTTTGGAAAATGTAGGGGACAATTTCCTGGTGCAAGTGCTGGAGGAACCAACTAGGGGCAGAGCTCTTCTTGACCTGCTGCTCACAAACCGGGAAGAATTAGGAGGGGAAGCAAAAGTGGATGGGAACCTGGGAGGCAGTGACCATGAGATGGTCGAGTTCAGGATCCTGACACAAGGAAGAAAGGAGAGCAGCAGAATACGGACCCTGGACTTCAGAAAAGCAGACACTGACTCCCTCAGAGATCTGATGGGCAGGATCCCCATGGGAGAATAACATGAGTGGGAAAGGAGTCCAGGAGAGCTGGCTGTATTTTAAAGAATCCCTATTGAGGTTACAGGGACAAACCATCCCAATGTGTAGAAAGAACAGTAAATATGGCAGGCGACCAGCTTGGCTTAACAGTGAAATCCTTGCTGATCTTAAA